ATCTCGCCACGGAGCAAAGGAGCCAACTCTAGCCTTTGGGAGCTGCTCCCATGAGGTTTTTTTAATTCCCTGGCCCTACCTGCCTGCCCTGTGCATCGGTTCTAGAAAACACCCTTGGGCCCAGGGATGCAGACACTGGCAGCTGGAGGTCAGCAGGTGTACTCTGAGGGACATGGGCGTGGCCCTGACAGGGCCCGTCGTGGTCACTGCTATATCCTCAGTGTCTAAAACAATGCCAGACACATAGGGCATAACATAAATACTGGATATTCATGAACAAATGGATGAGTAATAAAGTTCACATACACACCTAGCAGACTAGGTGATAGTTTAGGTTCGTGAGAGATGCAAAAACAATGGCACCTACACAGAAATAGGGATCCAGCATCTTCTATGAGGGAGTCTTGGAGATCGAATCAAAGAATGCCAATCCTCTTTTATCAAGCTTTGCTTAAATCAGCCAGACAGTCCAATTCTCCCACAACAGTCATTTAAATATTCTGCCCCATCCTCACCACACGTCAGTGCTTCTTGACCCTACAAGGAACTCATGGAAAGTTCACCCTCCTGGGCCCCACCCCAGACCTGAATCAGAATTTCTGGGGGCAGCATTTAGGGAGTCTGCATTTTTTGACAAACTCTTACGGTGAAATGGACAAACACCCAGAGTGAAGAACCACACCTTAAAAAGTACTCTTTTATTTATAAGTATTTTTACCTATATATATAGTACACAGGAAATAATACAAAAATATATGAAACAATGTTCACACATTCCATGGTTTAAGTCATTTAGATTCTTCAGCTCACTGAAGAAGAAATAGTACATTCCTCATATTTAAATATGTTAAATATTCCTAAAGCCCATCTATCCTGGGGTAATTCTGTTGAAACACCAGCCTGAAAGCATGTTAATATTTTGTTTTGATAGAATTTTAGACTGAGAAGAACGGTGCACGAATGGCACAGAGTTCTCGTACACCTTTAGCAGGTTAATTCTTAATTCACTCTCTGAAACCAAGAGAATCAAACTATGAACCAGCACTCATCTTTACAGTGTTGACTTAGTTCGATTTAACCAGTGTTTATAAAGCCCCCACTGTGTGCTGGGACACAGAGGCAGAGAAGATGCACTTTCACCCTTCAGAAGCTCACAGTCCAGAGAAAGAGCACACGTGTTTGTGGTCATAGATTCTAGATGTGACAGTCAGTGGGTGTCTTGGGCGCAGGTCAGTATGTAATATATAATATGGCCTCTGTCATCTTGGAAATCTAGTGATTACAATTTCTCTGTCTCTACACTGAACCTCTCCAATGGCTTTTTGGACAATCTAGCCCCTATGGTCTTCAAACCTAGGGAATAAGAGGCTGGATTTCTGGTGGGGATCTTGGGCAGAAGGTGGTGTTCTGAATGCCCTGATTTAAGAGGACTGACTACTTAAGGAAAAAAACTGAGACAGCTGGTGGGTGTACCTGGTGGACGCTGCCGAATCCAGCCGCGCTGGTCAGTCCGTTGGCTCCTTGATACATCCCTGCCGTGCCTGTGGGAAGGAGGAACAGGGGGACAGATGAGGTTTCTCATGGTCATAGGGGGACGTGGAGGAGAAGGATGCAGCAGAAAGGTGGGGTCTTTGAGGTCTGATAGGTTGGAATGGAACCTGTGACTTCGGCAAGTCTTCAAATCTCTCTGAATCTCAGTTCTCTCAATTAATGAGTAAAATAACACCATCAAAGCACTGTGGTGAGAAATAAATGAGATAGTGCACACAACACAGTTTCCCGTACTTGATAATTTTTAAAAAATTGTTTATTTTAAAAAAATTGTGGAAAATGCACGTAAAATTTAAAATTTTACTATTTTTAAGTGTGCCACTATTTTTAGTGGCATTAGGTACATTCACATTGTTGGGCAGCCATTGCCACCATCCGTCTCCAGAACTTTCTTTATCTTGCAAAACTGGAACTGAGTACCCATTAAACACCCCCCCTTCGCCCCTCCCCCAGCCCGGCACCCATCCTTCTACTCTGTCTTTATAAATTTGACTACTTTAGGTACCTTATCCTGCGACTGGCTTATTTCATTTTGTATAATGGCTTCCAAGTTTTACCCACGTTCCGGCATGTGTCAGAATTCCCTTCCTTTTTAAGACTGAATAAAGTTCCATTGTATGTATATTCCACATTTTTTTTAATTCACTCATCTGCTTACGGACACTTGGGTTGCTTCCACCTTTTGGCTATCACAAATAATGCTGTTTTTTTGGGGAGTGGGGTATAATACCATGCTATAAAATTCCCTCATTGAATTGTCAGTTGAATTATTTCTAAAGTAAACTGATATTTACTTTACGATGCAGTTTTAGAACATTTCCATCACCCTCCAAATTTGCAGTCAACCTCCCCTCGCATCCCCAGCCTCAGGCAACCACCGACCTGTTGCTGATTTTAGAGTATTGTCTTTTGTAGATATTTCACAGAAGTGAAATCATACAATATGTACTTGTATCTGGCCTCTTTCTCTTCGCATTATGCTTTAGAAGCTCACCCATGTCGTAATGTGTATCAGTAGTTCATTCCTTTTTATTGCTGATTAGTCTCCCAGGGTGTGAATGTACTACATCCAGTTTTGGGCTGTTATGGGTAATGCTGCTATAAACACTTACGTACACATTCTTGTGTGGATACGTGTTTTGATTTCTCTTGGGCAGATCCCTAGAAGTAGCATTGTGGAGTCATGTGGTAAGAGTGTGCTTCATTTTTAAGAAGTGGCCAAACTCTCTTTCCAAGTGGCTGTGCCATTATACTTTCCTACAATCAGTGTGTGAGCATTCCAGTTTCTCCGGCACATGGTATTTTCAGTATTTTTGATACAATCATTCTAGTAGGTATTTAGTACCATCTCATTGTGGTTTTAAGTAGCATTTCTTTAATGACTAACTCTGTTGGGCATCTTTTCATGTGCTTACGAGTCTATCTTCTTTGATGAAGATCTATTCAAATCTTTGGCCCATTAAAAAATAGTTAAGTTTGTCCCCTAATTAATGACCTGTAAGAGTTCCTTATGTATTCTGGACACAAGTTCTTTATTAGGTATATCTCTCCATCTGTAGCTTGTCTTTTCATTTTCTTAAAAAAAATTTTTTCATTTACAGTTGACATTCAATATTATATTAGTTTCAGGTGTACAGCATAGTGGTTAGACATTTATATAACTTACAGAGTGATCCTCTCCAATTAGTCTACCACTCCCCTGATCTTTTCTTAATGGTGTCTTTTGGAGAACAAAAGTTTTTAACTTATCATTTTTTAGTTCTATAGATCTTACTTTTGCTGCCTAACCCAAGGTCATTAAAATTCTTTCCTATGTTTCCTTCTAGAAATTTTATAGTTTTAGTTCTTATATTTAGGTATGATCTAATGTAAACTAATTTTGATGTATGGTATGAGGTAAGGGTCTAAATTAATCTTTTTGTATATGGATATCCAATTGTTCCAGCACCACTGTAAAAAGCTTATCCTTTTTTCCACTGAATTGTTTGGCAACTTTGCCAAAAATTAATTGACAATAAATGTGAGAGTTTATTTCTGGACTCTCTTTGCTGTTCCCCCATTGACGTATCTATCTTATATCATCCTGTCTTGATTACTGTAGTTTTAGAGTAAGTTTTGAAATCAGGTTGTATAAGTTCTCCAACTTTCTTCTTGTTATTTTGGCATCTATGTGTAAATTTTGCATTTACATATCAATTTTAGAATAAGGTTGTCAATTTCTATTGGCCAGAAGGAAGTGGCATAACATTTTTCAAGTGTGTCAACCCAGAATTCTATATTCAGGGAAAATATCCTTCAGGAGTGAAGGGAAAATCAAGACATTCTCGAACAAAGGAAAACTAAGAACCTGAAAGCAAATCTACCATGAAAGCATGGGCATATTCTTGTAACAGAAGGAGATTAAAAAAAAGAAATCTTGAAACATCTGGAAAGAAGAAAGAAACAGAAAAGGAAAAGAGTAAAAACACAGGCAGAGTCTCTTCTCTGTGGAGTATGTCACCAGCTCAATAACAGTTTGCTATCAAATTTTCAGAATTACTTATTCAAAAGTATCTTATCACTACAGAAAATATTAAAATGGTTCCAAAGTCAAATCTACAAAATAAACCATATTCCTGTCCAGGTGCGGGAGTATGTGCTGGGCACTGGGAAGACAGTGGAGGACAGTGGGCCGCCAGTAAGTACCTTCACTGGGAGCGTGGGGGCCACAGCGAAGGGATCTGTGATGCCAAGTGGGGACGAGGTGGGGCCAGGGAAGGCTTCCTGGGGGAAATGACATCTACACTGTTACTGGAGAATATGTAGCAGTTAGCCAGGTGAAGAGAGCAAGAACCAGGAACATGGCCGCACCTGGGCATTCTCTCCTGATCTCCATTACATGGGGTCTTGTTTAAGGCCCGGAAATCACAGAATTTGTCCACACCAGTGTGGCACACTGAAATCTCAATTTGCCCTCAGTGGCCCATCCAGACATGTCCGGCAGAAAGTCTAGGCCAGCCTCTTCCATTCAAGGTCATTTTTGGGGTCATGGTTACCATGGCAACCCTACCTGCCAAAACTTAGGAACATGCCTGGCTTAAGAAGTTTCCTGGATTCAGTGTTTTCTCTCCTGATTTCCCTTTTCTTTTGTGTCAACCTTCTGAATGATGGCTTCGGGCAGGTTTGGAAACAAACAGGCCACAGTCCCATCTCTTGGTACTCTTTGTCCAAAACAGCCTCTTGTTTGTTTTCATTTGTGACTGGCATCTGAAGAATGGACAGCTGAACAAACTGCAGTTTGCCAAGGGCAGTCACCAAAGCCCCTGCAGTGAGAGATCCATCCCATGCCAGAGGACCCAGGAGGAAGGGGGCACGTGGCCCCCAAAATCTTGTGCCACACCATGTGGTCTCTGGAGGGTTTTGCAAATGGATCCGTCCTGAGCTGGAATGTTGAACACTGGCTTCTTGCCTCCGTCTGGCTGGTGGAATGCGTAGTGAGGGCTAGGGGAGGCGAGGACAGGAGGAGGAAACACTCTCTCTTAAGGTGATGGTGGCAGGTCCTGCCAGGGGTTCTCCCAATACCCATTCATCCCTTCTCTCTCATATTGGCAGAATCTCTGCTTTTAAGCTGGGCACATGGCTGATGAGAATAAGCCCTACATTTCCCAGCTTCCCTTGTGGCTGTTGTGGCCATGTGATGAGTTGTAGAAAAGGGAAGAGGGATGAGTTAATGTTTATAACATCCTGGCTGTGTTCTCTCTCTTCCTGATGAATGGGGCCATCTTGGAACACATGGCTAATCAGTAAGATATGAGGGGCTTGGAGCCCTGCCACGTTTGCCAGAACCGATGTGGCCAGAACTGCCACATCAGCTTGGCCTTTAGGTGAGAGAGGAATATGCTTCTTTCTTGTTGAAAACACTGCTATTTTCTATGCCATAGCAGAGAACTGCTATCTTTTAAAAAAAAAAAAAAAGTTAATTTATTGATTGATTGGTTTTCTTGGATTTTAAGTAAAGGTTTACTGTCAATGCTTGGCTCAGTAAAAAACTTTTCAGTCAAAATTCATTCATTCATTCATTCACTCATTCATTCAACAATCATTTCCTAGTGATGTACCAAATATTACTGTGTCAGGCACTGTTTTAGATATGGCAGTAAGCAAGGAGTTGATGCTTACACTCAGAGAGAGACAGAACACAATCGAGTGAACAGATACACAAGGAGTTAAGATAATTCCAGACAGATCCAAAGTAGTGATGCATTAGCACGGCACTACCGAAGCGTGGTCCGTGGACTGAAGCCTGCCTGCAAACTGGTTATTACCAGTCTGCGATGAGACAAATACAGAAATCAAGAGCCAGTGTGTAGAAACTTCTATTTTCTGCTGAATCTGATAATAAAAAAATCAGGGCTTGTAATTTGTGTGTCTTTTAAAAAATTCCATTGCTTCTCAATCTTTTTTTGTTATTACCACTGCTGTCCCCTCATCCTTTTTGACATTTCTCTCCCAAAACACCCCTGCCCCATGAAACTCTAATATTAAAAATATACCACATATCTGTTCAGGCACTTATATATATTTGTGCTTAACACAGAAAAAGAGATAAATATAAGCTACACATACATTTAAGAAAGATTAATAAAAACAAGTAAGAGAATTCTTTTCCAACCCGCTTATTCCAGCTCATGTCATGGGTGGTCGGAGCCAACCCTGGCAGCTCAGGGCGCAAGGCAGGCATCTACCCTGGACAAGATGCTCTTCCACTGCAGAGCACGCACACACACACACACACACACACACACACACACACACAGAGTCAGACCGGGACAATGCAGGCCCGCCAAGGAACCTCATGTGCACATCTTTGGGATGTGGGAGGAAACTGGAGCCCCTGGAGAAAACCTACACAGACATGGGGAGACCGTGCAAACTCCACACAGACAGTGGCTTGGCTGGGAATTGATTTTTTTTTTTTTCTCATCAATGTTACAATGAAATGATGTTGAAG